GGATCTCAATGTAGACCTTAGCACGGAAGGTTCTCTAGTGGGTAGAGGCATCTATACTAGATCCAATGGACATGCAGGAGATTCGTCCACTGCACAAGACATCCTGAGGTCTTATGATTTAGTTGCTCTTAACACTTGGGGTCCCCATGGTCGCCGGGCATGCACGTTTCTACCAGCCGGTTCCACTGGCTGCAGCCAAATCGACTTTGCCATAGTCAGACGACAGCATGCGGACATGGACTCCCGCAAAACCTCCCCTAGATGCCTGCCATTCATCCCAGTTACGGGTATGCGCCACTTAGCCCTCGTAGGCAGTATATCTTTCCCCCAACGTCCGCATAGCACCTCCAAACCATCGTTCATGCAACGGCACAAGGTGTTGCAAGTATGTGATACGCACCCGGAAGTGGAGCCAGCCTTTAGGCGAGAGCTGCAGTCAGCCATGCTTGACAAGCCGACGGAGAGTACCGACTCTCTCTTTCGCCTGGCGTGGACTAGAGCCACTCGGAATCTGCCGGCTCTGCATCAGACATCGACGCTCGAGCACCGCAACCGGTCTGTGTCGGAGCTGTGGCGACTGCGTGCTATAGTCAAACAAGGCAGACTCTTGCCCTGTCGAACCCTGCGGGACTATGTAGCAAGATGGAAGGAATACAGCGCCTTACTGAAGCATCAGAGAGGACTGCGCAAGCATTGCCAACAGCTCCGACGCCAACGTCTGTCCCGACGGCTGCAGGAAGCAGTGCAGCATTCAGGCTATCTAGGTATATTTCGGGTGCTGCGTTTATTCGCCCCTAAACAACCTAGACGCAAGCTGCAGCTCCGTGCGCCGAACGGTATGCCGCTGGACATCTCTTCAACGGTCTCAGCCATTCAGTCATTCTATCAGGATCTTTACCATAAACATCCCCCTCGACCATCTACGCTAGACAGTGCTCCTTTTCAAGTTTGTTGGGGTCAATTCCACTCTGCCCTGTCTAGCCTCTCCCGGAGTAAAGCTCTACCACCCCATGTGGCACCCGCACATCTCTGGCGGGTAGCGGCAGACGTGTTGACTGACTGGTACCTTCCCCTCCTGAATGGATGGCTACGAGACATGAGCGTCCCTCCTCCGGAGGAATGGCACGTGGCAGACCTTTGCCTGATACCCAAACCCAATAAGCCCATGACTGGGCCAGGAGCCCTGAGACCCATCTCCTTGATTCATCCGGTCTCTAAGGCCCTTTCCATCATTCTGAACAACCACATTAAACCGCAACTAGGGCAATTTACCCAGAATCTGCCGCTGATGGCCTACCTTGAGGGGCGCTCCGTGCAGGATGCACTTGATAGAGCCAGCGCACACTGCTCTCAAGTCAGGGCGGTGCTTCATTCACAACGGCAAAACATTCACCTGCGCAAGCAAGGACACCGCCCTGCTGATTGCAGGGGAGGAGTTTTGTTGTCAGTGGATCTACGGCAGGCATTTGATCTGATGCCACGTGAGCACCTGCAGCGGGCCATGGACTTGGCGCAGGTAGATGCAGCGGCGCAATATGTCATACTGCAGCTACATACACATGCACGCCTGAGAATCACGCATGGCCAACAGCAAGCGTCGCTAGGCACAGACAATGGTATCCGGCAGGGGTGCTGCCTTGCACCATCTTTGTGGGTCCTGTATACTGGCTTGATCATGCATCATCTCAAACGACGCATTGCTTTGCCTGACTCCACGGCCTATGCAGATGACTTTCTTTTTCACTGGCTGATTAACAACGTAGAACAACTCGAGAGGGCGTTCTCGGACATCACGTTCATTTTAGACACACTCTCACATTTTGGCATGAGCATCAGCCCTGACAAGTCGGCAGTACTCATAGGCGTTCGAGGAACAAGAGTTGGATCCGTCCTCCGAAAGCATGTGATTAAAGACCCCCACAAAGGGAAGCTGCTCACCTGCCCTACAACCTCCGCAACCACGATGCTCCCTGTAGTCCAGAAACACCCCTATCTAGGAGCCATACTCAGCTACCAGTCCATGGAGGCCCTAACTCTGAAAGAGCGCTTTAAACAGTCCTGGAGCTCCTTCAATCGCATCTTGCCTTCACTTCGCGCCAACAGCGTCTCCCTGAAGTATCGAATTCAGGTTTGGCAAAGCTGTGTCTTCTCTACGCTCATGCATGGCTTGGATAGTGTTGGACTGGCACCAGGCGGAGCGACCCAACTACACAAGCATGTCATACGTCAGCTTAGGCTCGTGAGTAAGGCCCCCTCCTTCATTACACACGAGGCCTCGCAGGACCTCCTTACCCGCCTGAACCTCCAAGACCCGGTAGACACACTGTGCATGCGAGTTCACCAACGATTGCAGAAGTGTCGCGGGGGAGCCATGGCCACACTGCAGCCTCAGCTTGTGCATCGCTGGTGGCGGCAACTAGAGCACAACTTAGACACAGCCAAGCATGACCCCACACAACAGCATCACCACCTGCCCCTACGCGTGCCGGTCAGACTAGTTGCCCTCGCACAGCCGATCAAGCCCCAGGCCTGCTCAGTGTGCGGTTGCTACTTCCCCACTACCCGAGCTCTACGGATACACTATGCCCTCAAGCACAAACCTCAGAATGTCGTGCCTAAACCTAAAGCCAGACCACAACATGTCATGCGCCGCGAGTACATGCAACATTGTGTACAGGGGCTTCCTACCTGCCGACACTGCCAATGGGCTTTCACCAGCTGGCCATCTTTCTGTATGCACTTTGAGCGGGCCAGATGTCCAGTGTTGCATTCGGAAGCAGGGGCACAGGCACAGGCAGGAACCCCAGGACCACCCCCTCAGTCTGACAACATTCCCATAGCTCCATGCACGGAGCCTGCTTCAAACCCGACATCGACGGAAACTGTCCCTCCAGACCTCCTGCCACCGCCTGTTCCCCAGCAGACCTTGTCGATAGAGACAGTCGAAGCTGCTGACGGCAGCTATCCTTTTCTATCTGCGGAACTGCAATCCCTGGCGCGTCAGGGGGACTGGAAAGACTTAGCTCGCCGCATACGCTCCACGGATCTCCATTATTGTCTATTTTGTGGGCAGTGGCTTGCGCATCCGGGGTATCTATCTAGACATGTTAAGGCCCAACACCGCCAGGAGTATCTCAAGCATGCATCTGTGCTCCAGTGGCTCGAAGCAAGAAAGACGGCCATCCTCAGCCCGTGTCAGTATTGCAATACTGACTACAAGGCACGCCACTGCAGCAGACCTAGGCACGCTAAAGAATGCCCTGTGTTGTATCGTGCAGGTCTGTTGATCCAGATCTTTGACGGCGGCCCCTCCTCTGCGCCTCCCACCTCAAGCCTCTTTCCTTTGCAAAGAGATGGCGGCGGCTCCCTCGGACACCCTTCGGCAGGACCTCCAGGAAGTGGCGAGCCAGGAGATAATGGGGGCCATGGATCAGGCCAACCTGCTGTCCTCAATGATGCGTCGAGCGGCGGAGCCCATGGTCCCACAGGAGCTTTCGACGGCGAGCACCAGGGCGAGCACACCGATCCTTGTGACGGACAAGGATGCAGTCGAGGTGCCCTCGGAAGCTGCCCCCTCCCAGATGGAGACCTCGGAGCCCCGGGACAAGCGTCCGGTGGAGACTACGGAGGGCAAGGGCACGGGGGATCAGGAGAAATGGCCGCGGCCCTCCGCCAAAGGAAATGCCAGGACATCCGAAGCTGGCTGGCAGCGGGATCACAGGTCGCCGGAGCAAGGCCGCCGCAGAGGAGCCCAGGACCGCACGTGGCACCAGCGCGACTGGTATGGCCGCTCCAGACGCACGGACAACCAGAGCCATGGCCAGCCCGATGCGGAGCGCGAGAAGGCGGTCTGGAACCTATGCCTCAGCATGGGCCGTCTCCTGTTACGCCACGAGGACCAATTGGGGATAAACCGGTCCCAGGACAACTACATCATGTTTGCCCAATGCCAGGGCGTCCTCTCGATGGTCCCGGAGCTCTACACCGCCACGGTGGCTTGGAAAACCATGAAGAAGGAGGCCCCGGAGCAGCTGACGCTACCCCTCCGAGCCTGGCTGATGAAGCATTGGGTGGATACAATGCTCAAGCGCGTGAGCATGATCATGACCAGCGAGGAAACAATTCAGCAGGCGAAGGATATGCTTATCCTGGACGAGCAATGCAATGTGCCGTACCTCGAGTGGGACTCTGGGGAACGCCGCCTGAGGATCAAGCGAGACCGGGACCCAATGACGCTGTCCCAAGTCCTCGAGCTCCTGAAGGAGATGCAGGTCTTGGTTATCCAACCAATGACCATCATGAGGTTCCATGCCACCCGCGAGCTCTGCCAAGAAATGAAAGCGGAGGTGGTGCCTCTCATGTTGGAGGTGGGGTCGAGGACGGCCGAATGCCACCAGCTCTGGAACCACCTCCAGAGGTTGAGCCACAATGCGGCGTGCCGCGTCGCAGCGGTCTCGCTGAGGAGCGACCGCATGGGCCGCTCGGCCCTGGGAGTGGCAGTCCAGCGGATCATCGACGAAATGTGCGGCGCTTACGCATTGCTAATCCTCTAAATTTTTGCTATGGTAACGCTGCTGTTCTAGCCCTTAGTTGGATGCTTGGAATAGGCCCGCCCGCTGATGATATGCTCGAGCCCTCCCTCATGCTGATTTTGAAATGGCTCTGCACTCAGCGCCACATTGTTCCGTTGTGGAACCACATCGGATGGCGGGCCCTGCACTCTTCGTGGCCTGAGCCCTCTAGGCAGCACGATATCGTTGAGTA